CAGCAGAAATGTACAAAATCTAGAATCCTATAGACAGACTTGGGACAAGGATCAAGTTCCAGGGTTCAGGAAATCTCAGTGGACACCTGAGTTGTTCTTATTTTTGTTAGTACAGGGACTTGAACTCACAACCTCGTGCTTGTCAGGCAGGCACTATGCTGCTGAGCTATATCCCCGGCCCCCGGTTTATTTTTTAAAAATGAATATTTGAGGCTTATTTTGTATACCTACTTGGCACAGTTGCTGGGTTTTATCTAAGTGGGAGGTAAAATAAATTAATGAGTAAAAACTGAAGCTTGTGGAAGAGACCAGCCTGGTGAGGCCGTCACTTCTTTATTTGAGGCCTGCCAGCTCCCAGGCCTTTGTGAGGGCTTGCCAGGGCCTGCATGAAGGGAGCTCTGTGCGACCCTGGGAAAGCTGTACCCGCCCACTGACCTCACCAGCTTCCATGACCACACACTCAGGAGGAGCACAGCTCACACACAGGGCAGGCCGGGTCCCGCCTCAACTCAGGAGAATTAACAGGCAGAGGTGAAAAATGTTCTGTAGTGTTTAATTATTATTTAATTATGTTCTACATCATTACCTCAGCAAGGATCCTTATAAGACCTGTCTTAATGTCAGGGGAAAGTTAGAGGGAACATTAAAGGATTTTAATTTTACTCTGTGAGCAGCTGTAGTCCAGGATGGCCCAGCTTGCTGATCAGTCTAGTTGGGCATGAAAAGATAGAAGAACGTCCTTCCCTCAAGAGCCCCTTGGAGCAGAGGCAGGAAGAGAAAAGGCGCTTTGAAAATGGTAATTAAAAGGAAAATTCAGTCCCGATCTTTCAAATTCTCTTGGGTTTAAGGCTTACTTTTCTCTCCTCCAGCATCTGCTGCTTCTCCAAGAGGCCGGAAGAGAAAGGCGCTCAGGGAGGCTTTTATTCCACACAGCAGCCAGAAATGGCGACTTGGCCTCAAAGGGAAGCTTCCTTCTTAGGAAAGAGCTGAACACTCAGGCACAGTGCCCTGAAGGAGAACAGAACGTGGAATTTCTGAAGATTAACCCTCAATTTCAGGGATTTGAATCTGGAAGGGTCGGGGCTGGGGATTTAGCTCAGGGACACAGCGCCTGCCTGGCAAGCGCAAGGTCGTGAGTTCGATTCCGGGTACTGGAAATAAACCAAAAAAAAAAAAAGAAAGAAAGAAAGAAACTGGAAGCGTCTAAGATTATTCTAATCAATCACTCATCTTTTTGTCTCAGCTTTGAGACGTGTCTTCCAGCCTCTGTGTGAGGTGGGAGAAGGCTGCATATGCATACAGCCACGCCTTTCCATTGCCTTGGGATCTTCACAGACTAACTGGAAGACCACTGCACTAAATCACTTTCCGTCCAGTCCGTTACCTTCCACTCTTCATGCAGTTGCTTCCAAAGCAGGCTAAATCTTAGCTCTGTCCATTTGCTGGCTATGTGATCATCTACATCTGCTTAACTGTTTTGAATTTCAGTTTCCTTAACTGTAAAGTTGAGATTAATCATGTTCTTTACTTCCTTGGGTTGTTATGAAATATAATAGTACAATTCAAGATCTTGATATAGGGCTTTGTGGCAACTGAACAGGCTCCATTATGAAATATATCTGGTAGATAGGCTATTACACAGCACACATTATGATGTATAATAGCTAGTTGCCTTCATGCATGTTTTGTAGCATGAGGGCTTACTAGACCATGCACCTTAGAATCCACAGAGATTTTGTCTGTTGTTTATTTACCTCTGTATTTCCAGAGCATATGATGAAGCATAGCAAGCAACAGGTCTTCAATAAATGTTTGCTGAGAGAAGTGAATAAACAAATAGAGGAGATGCAGTGGAGTTTGGCAAATGCAGCTACAGAGGGAAGCCCAGGATGCTGGGCAAAGAGAGAGGAGAAGGAACCCCGCTTCTGAGAACTCCAGCCTGGCTGAGAGTGGAAGTTGTTGGTTGTAGCTAGGAGCATTCCAGAAGGAGATCAAAGGCATCTTCTATTCTCCCCTCAAGTCATTTCTCACAGGGTACAGTTTTCCTTCTTTCAACTTTCTTGTTCACATTCATCAGGGCCCTAACATCCCCTCAGGAAGCAGGGTCCTTACAGTTCTGACCCACAGAATTGTCTGACCCACAGGCAATTCACACTGTGGCCTGCACAGCACAGATTCCAGCCACCGTGTAGGCAGTGACAAGTGAAGCCAACACTGCATGGGTTTTCAGCACCCGCTACTTTGAGTCCCACATGACCTCCCCCGTCCCACACTTGGCTCATACAGGTTTGTGTAAACTGCGATGTATGTATTTAACCTGAAGTACACTTGCTCCATTTTATTTGTTGATGCAGGGGACCGGTGGTAACTGGGGTTGCCCTAGCACTGCACGAAACCAAGACTGGGAAAGCTACCAAGGCCATTCCACTGAAACTAGAGAACCAGGACATTATTTCCTCCTGAGCTGAGAGAAATTCCATCCCAGCCAGCAAGTTACACAGTGGAGGGGCTGCACTGTTCAGCAGTCCCTCACCCATGGGCAGGCCAGGCAAGGCCATTGTCATAGGAGATGATTCCAGGTGGGATTCAGATGCCTGGGCTAAACCGTTCACAGCTGAGTATTCTGTTCCATGTATATGAGA